GGGAAAGAGAAAGTAGCTTGGCATAATGCTTCTGTCTGCCTGTTTAAGACAGGAAACATGCAAACCCACTGGTCATGGAGGTAACTACACATTTTGTTAATGAAAGAATTATTTTAAACTTCTATCTATCCTTTCAATGAGTTATATTACTCTGAATGTTATAGCTTTATTGAATTTAGCTTTATTTATATTTCATTCAAATATGGAAATCTGAACATGGAAGGAACCTGGAAGGTTTCTTTTAAGTGTATCTGAATTCTTCCATATATCATCTTAAATTTCATTTATGTCATTGTATAAGGGAAATTATACATTGTTTTTCTTCTATTTTATGGTTTCTAGTAATTTCATAATTACTGCATATTATTGGTTATTTTGAAATAGTGTCTTTGTATAATATCCTACATGACAACTTTTTAGTAATTGAATTTAATTGATTTTTTTCTTCTTACAGATGTTTTGATGTTGGGCTACATCGTTTTCTGGTCAGGTAAGCTAATAATTATTTTAAATTGCAATCAATATTATGGAACATTTCTGTTGGTGCTTGTAGAGATGGTAATTTCATGTGTACTAAAGAGTGCATTCTATGGCAAAATCTCCTTTGCTTTTCAATTTATATATTACTTTGAGGAACTTTACCTGAGCTCAATGTTTGCCCCAGGGAAAACCTGACACAGGAAACTTCAGAAGTGTTTGGGCTGGTTTTGAGGAAATGTTTTTTTCATATTATGTCAAGAGCATACCTGGAGGGGAAGAAATACTGGGTAGTTGCTTACTGAACACCATGCATTTTTAGTTTAACTGAAACACAAAAATATTCTGAGATCACACAAATTCTCTATTACAGGGAAAATGGGTCTGAATTAAGATTTGCACAAACAATCTTTATCCTGACACCTTATAACCTTTGAGCAGTAGAGTTGGCAATCTTGCGGTTGTTTTACATTTTCTTTGCATGTAATATGACTGTATTTAGCAGACAGTTCTCTTCAGTGAAGCCATTGTGTCAATATTATTAGCAGATATGCCATTTTGGAATATAGTTTTGAGACTAATTAATATATTTAAATTACAGTATCAGTTAGACAAAATTAGTCATATCTATATTTAGACTAGCAGATAAAAGATTTTTTATTCATTATATAAGAATTTGTTAAAATGTGCTACCACTATAAAGGGAATATTGTGCACAACAAAATCTCCTGGAAATAAGAATAACTTGTTAACCAAGAATAAAGTCATAGTAACTGCTGATGCACCAAATATGATCCACTAGTTATCCACCGTCACAGAAGAATTTGTAGTCATTACTGCATATGAAGAATATAACT